TGCTACAAAGGGAAATCACTGTGAACCTCAGAAAACGTGCAATACAAAAAAAAAGTCATGCATTTAATTTTTCCATTACCCATTAAAAAGTCAACTGACTGCAGGAAATGTCCACCCCAGCGGGGCATAATTGGGGCAGAAAATGCCTCAGTCTAAACTGTATTATAGTGGCCTTGCTGTGCCACACTACAAAATTGGTGACCTTTGCAAAAAGCCACTTTCACTTTTCACACAGTAAATGATTATGCATGTTATGAGGAGTCTGAATGTTCAAAAGCACAGGCATGCTTACTGCTGCTGGGGCCACCAGCTAGTAAGAGAGGTCTCTGAGGAGAAAAGGTTGCTTCTATCTAAAGGTCAAATGTTGCTTCCATCTCTCATCTCAATGTCCTGATCTCAGACAAATCTTACTTTATTTCCTCATCTTTTAAAACACTGGCAATCTTTTTGGACTATTCACATTTATTTTGAGTCTGGTAGCCCATATATAACAGAAGTTACCTAAGTTAATTAAGCTGTAATCATAGACCTTCCACATTCATGTAAATATGCATGAAGCACACAGATCGATATTTCAGGACAGAGGAGAACAATACAGACAGACAAGGCTGCATTTTCATGCCAGCACTGCAAAATATTTGGTGCCACATACCAAATATACATAAAATATGTCAACGCAAGCAAACAATACAATCAAACATCCCCAGACACAATAAGTAACACTTCATGCCAGACTGTCCATCAGCGGTTACATCTCGAGTGCAGCGATGGAAACTCAAACTTTTTACAACCGCAATATTCAAAAACTGTTATATATATTTAATTTGCTTCTAATACCGCCAAGACAACATTACAGAAACACGTATACTGATGTGTCCAAAAAAAAAAACAACAACATTAAGAAGTACGTTGGTAGTAGTTTTGTTGGACGTAAACACCATCGATTTTAGAATTTATCAATGTGCTGCCATGTGAATACCATCGTGAATGATATGGTAACCATATATTAATACCAAAATATTAGGGCTGGGTAACTATAGATAGTGTTGGGTTCGAGTCCATTTTGTCAAGTCCGAGGCGAGTCCAAGTCCTTAACCAATCAAGTTCATATGGAAGAAGTTTATTAATGTCTTGTCATCTTAATTTTATGTTGTTACTTATTTTTTATCTCTCATGTTAGACACGACGTGGAGTTTGTCAAGTTCAAGTACAAATTTACCAGAAAGTGTGACAAATCAGAGAGTTCATTCATAATTGCAGTGAAGGCCAGACTTGATTCTGAGTCTGACATCGAGTACCCCAAATATAGTTATAGATTGATTATATCTCAATATGTTTTAGCCTGTCAGCGATATTCAATATTCTAATATTGATTTTATATATATAATAACAAGGATGCATCACAAATGTAGTCTAATAACACAATTTTCATGAAAACATATTGACTAAATAGAGCAGCTCCAATAGGGGCCTCGCACCATTGATGCTCGGGAAAGATCTCGCAAGGCAGAAATCACAATGGGTTCAATTTATTTATCCACAGACGACCTTTTTTGTCTGTAAAATATTCACTATAGTCTGAAATTTTACCTTAAGTTGTCAAAAAGCAAGTAACAATATATATATATTAGAGCTTCAAGTGATTTCAACTCTTTTAAGACTATACGGGGGGGGGGGGTAATAATGTGTCCATAAATTAAATCCTGCAAACCGCTGATACTGAAGAGTCTCTCTCATCCCAGTATTACCCGTCTGGGTTTCCTTCACCCCAGTGAACATATGCTAATGAAATAATGCATGTGTCACCAAGCATTAGCTCGCACAGGAATGAAATCAGAGCGACAAAAGCTATCTTCAGACTAATGAGGGAGATCTCCATATCTGCTGACCTTACTACACATGAGCCAAATAAAATTTGAGCTCAATTACATTACTCTTCTGTTGAAATATTACAATATTGTATTTTCAAAGATTAAAAAGATTTTAAAGAGTACTTACCTTTGGTTTTCTGTTCAGTAACCTGTAAATGAAAGCAAGCGATGCATTATCAGCAAAAGCCATGATATATTTCATTGTACTTGTTCAGTGTAGTAGTTTACATGTTATTTGCATAGTATAATGAATATTCATACTATATTTCTGTGGCAGGCTGCCCTGATATTTTACTGCTAATAAATTATGTATTCCAATTGTGTATTTCACTTATGCCTAGTCTACATTTTCTTCATTATCAAAAATATATAAATACACGTGTATTAAATAAATGTGTGTATTAAATGTGTATATTAATAAAATCATACACAAATATCAGCATAGTATGGACCACAGTTATGAATGACTAGAAGGATGCACAAAAAAGGATACATTATTTGAAACCACCTCATTAGTGTCATGTTAAGAAATATGGACATGATCATTACGCAAATATAGAGTGTGTTCCTGAGTGTTTTTTTGCTACCATACTTACTAACAGCCTGCAATTATCCCTATTAACATACTGTTAAAGGGGTCATAGGATGCACATTTTCCACAACTTGATATGATTCTTTAGGGTCTTAATGAAAAGTCTGTAACATAGTTTGGTTAAAATTTCTCAATGGTAGTGTAAAAAACACCTTTTTTACCCTGTCAAAAACAGCTCTTTTCAGATCAAGCCGTTTTTGTAGCATTTTCCTTTAAATGTTAATGAGCTGTTCTTGCCCCGCCCCTCTTTTCCGAGCTGCTCTCAGAGAGACTGTTTACTTTAGCCGCATTCATCGTGAAACTTGCTAATTAGCACATTATTAGGAAAGGTGATTTGCAGAGATTGTGACCGTCATCAGAGATTTGTGCTTTTTCTATTTAGTACTGGGGGTGGCGCTGTTGAGCGTATATACGGGGAACCAGGTAGGAAGTTAAGAAAATGTGGTTGCGTCTCTCGCTCTCTCTCTCGCTCTCTAGCCTTGGTTGTCAGGTGTGTGGGCTATTCCTGGTCATGGTTACGCTAGTGGATGGGTTGTGAGTATTGCTGTTGTAGCCCTCTTTGCATTGATGTGCTAATGCTACATTTAATGCTATGTCTTGCATTCGAGAGAGAGTTTTTTCCAATTCGGTTGTGAGGTGATTGTGGTTTAAATGCTAATTTAGGGCATTATAATGTAGTGTATTTTGAGGGAAGGGAGGTTTTTTTTGTATTTATTTTGGTGCTCGAGTTGTCGAATTCTATTGTTAATATTGTGTGTGATGTGATGAATTACGTTTCAGGCCCAGTAGTTTAACGAGTGACACGGTGAACAAATTAATGTTTGTTTTTTTAATTTGTTGGATTAATATTGTTCGGGGTTGAGAATTAAAGTTTATTGAAATGAATTTGTTAAAATAGTGTATTTGTATAGGGGAATAAATTAAAAAGGATTTTTTTCCCCCCCTTTTCTTTTTTTTTGAACTTTGCATCCAGAGGATTTTTTCTTATGCTTATTTTTCTCCTATGTGATTGTCTTATTTTATTGTGAATCTAATTTGTCTTGTACAAGATTTATTGCATTACATTTAATTGTTTGAATTATTCAATTGTTTAATTATTTGCGGATTTATTTGTCACTCATTTATTGTAAGGTATTTAAAAGGTAAATGTTCCTGGGCCTGGAATTAAAATTGTGATTTATTTATTTTCTGTTTTCTTTTTTTCTTTTTCCGTGTTGAATATGATGTGCTGAATTGTGAGATAATATGATTGGAATTGATGCTGAATAGAAAACTTTGAAAAACCCTTTCTTGTTGTTGCTTGTCCTATTTGATTCATATGAAAGAATTGATAGTGGCTCTAATAATTTAATCCCTAATGATTAATTTAATTCAATAATTGTGGTGCTTTTTACCCCTGGCACCTGAACCCAAACTTTTAAGGCCAAATACCGTCACGGATTCATTACAAAACATTATACTCACTTCTTCTGTAGATGAGGCTGGATCATGAATGATTCGTGCGAACATAGACGCATTTATGTAGATCGGGCGAGCATTCCCTTCAGAGACAAATGTAATCCACTGCGAGTTCAGCGGCTCAGATGTCCTGAGTAAATGACGACTGCTATGTTCATTATTACATCCAACAACAGAACACCTCAATCACTTAGGAGTCATTCTTGTCTACATCTGCTCCAGCTGTGAAACAATGGTGCACTGATGACAGCTCACTCAGGGTGGGTCTGAGGTAAGACACCAGTCCAGTCTGTGCTGAAATGCTACTGTCAATCAAACTATCGTGGGAGGGGTCTGTTTTTGTGATGTCACACATCTGAGATTGGCTCGATTTGAGAAAGGGGAAAACATTTAACACGATTTAAAAAAAAAACCACTGGGTGGATTTGTATCATTATAGGGTGGTTGTGTACACACACTGCCAACACACATTTCAGTTCAAACAACTTGTAAAAGTGCATGTAGCATCCTATGACCCCTTTAATGTACTTTGGTAATAAAATCAATACTAACATTGAAAATAAAAAAATAAAGTAACACTACCATACCAGTATCAGTATTAATGAGGGCAGACGCGATTTAGTTCCCAAGTGTTGACTGACTGACAGGTGGTGCTAATTTTTTTATTTATTTTTCTCCTGAATAAGAACTGTTTCTCGATTTCCAACACTAGTCATTAATAAGAATGCTGTTAATATTATTTGATGTAGGGGGGGGGGGTAATAATGTGTCCATAAATTAAATCCTGCAAACCGCTGATACTGAAGAGTCTCTCTCATCCCAGTATTACCCGTCTGGGTTTCCTTCACCCCAGTGAACATATGCTAATGAAATAATGCATGTGTCACCAAGCATTAGCTCGCACAGGAATGAAATCAGAGCGACAAAAGCTATCTTCAGACTAATGAGGGAGATCTCCATATCTGCTGACCTTACTACACATGAGCCAAATAAAATTTGAGCTCAATTACATTACTCTTCTGTTGAAATATTACAATATTGTATTTTCAAAGATTAAAAAGATTTTAAAGAGTACTTACCTTTGGTTTTCTGTTCAGTAACCTGTAAATGAAAGCAAGCGATGCATTATCAGCAAAAGCCATGATATATTTCATTGTACTTGTTCAGTGTAGTAGTTTACATGTTATTTGCATAGTATAATGAATATTCATACTATATTTCTGTGGCAGGCTGCCCTGATATTTTACTGCTAATAAATTATGTATTCCAATTGTGTATTTCACTTATGCCTAGTCTACATTTTCTTCATTATCAAAAATATATAAATACACGTGTATTAAATAAATGTGTGTATTAAATGTGTATATTAATAAAATCATACACAAATATCAGCATAGTATGGACCACAGTTATGAATGACTAGAAGGATGCACAAAAAAGGATACATTATTTGAAACCACCTCATTAGTGTCATGTTAAGAAATATGGACATGATCATTACGCAAATATAGAGTGTGTTCCTGAGTGTTTTTTTGCTACCATACTTACTAACAGCCTGCAATTATCCCTATTAACATACTGTTAAAGGGGTCATAGGATGCACATTTTCCACAACTTGATATGATTCTTTAGGGTCTTAATGAAAAGTCTGTAACATAGTTTGGTTAAAATTTCTCAATGGTAGTGTAAAAAACACCTTTTTTACCCTGTCAAAAACAGCTCTTTTCAGATCAAGCCGTTTTTGTAGCATTTTCCTTTAAATGTTAATGAGCTGTTCTTGCCCCGCCCCTCTTTTCCGAGCTGCTCTCAGAGAGACTGTTTACTTTAGCCGCATTCATCGTGAAACTTGCTAATTAGCACATTATTAGGAAAGGTGATTTGCAGAGATTGTGACCGTCATCAGAGATTTGTGCTTTTTCTATTTAGTACTGGGGGTGGCGCTGTTGAGCGTATATACGGGGAACCAGGTAGGAAGTTAAGAAAATGTGGTTGCGTCTCTCGCTCTCTCTCTCGCTCTCTAGCCTTGGTTGTCAGGTGTGTGGGCTATTCCTGGTCATGGTTACGCTAGTGGATGGGTTGTGAGTATTGCTGTTGTAGCCCTCTTTGCATTGATGTGCTAATGCTACATTTAATGCTATGTCTTGCATTCGAGAGAGAGTTTTTTCCAATTCGGTTGTGAGGTGATTGTGGTTTAAATGCTAATTTAGGGCATTATAATGTAGTGTATTTTGAGGGAAGGGAGGTTTTTTTTGTATTTATTTTGGTGCTCGAGTTGTCGAATTCTATTGTTAATATTGTGTGTGATGTGATGAATTACGTTTCAGGCCCAGTAGTTTAACGAGTGACACGGTGAACAAATTAATGTTTGTTTTTTTAATTTGTTGGATTAATATTGTTCGGGGTTGAGAATTAAAGTTTATTGAAATGAATTTGTTAAAATAGTGTATTTGTATAGGGGAATAAATTAAAAAGGATTTTTTTCCCCCCCTTTTCTTTTTTTTTGAACTTTGCATCCAGAGGATTTTTTCTTATGCTTATTTTTCTCCTATGTGATTGTCTTATTTTATTGTGAATCTAATTTGTCTTGTACAAGATTTATTGCATTACATTTAATTGTTTGAATTATTCAATTGTTTAATTATTTGCGGATTTATTTGTCACTCATTTATTGTAAGGTATTTAAAAGGTAAATGTTCCTGGGCCTGGAATTAAAATTGTGATTTATTTATTTTCTGTTTTCTTTTTTTCTTTTTCCGTGTTGAATATGATGTGCTGAATTGTGAGATAATATGATTGGAATTGATGCTGAATAGAAAACTTTGAAAAACCCTTTCTTGTTGTTGCTTGTCCTATTTGATTCATATGAAAGAATTGATAGTGGCTCTAATAATTTAATCCCTAATGATTAATTTAATTCAATAATTGTGGTGCTTTTTACCCCTGGCACCTGAACCCAAACTTTTAAGGCCAAATACCGTCACGGATTCATTACAAAACATTATACTCACTTCTTCTGTAGATGAGGCTGGATCATGAATGATTCGTGCGAACATAGACGCATTTATGTAGATCGGGCGAGCATTCCCTTCAGAGACAAATGTAATCCACTGCGAGTTCAGCGGCTCAGATGTCCTGAGTAAATGACGACTGCTATGTTCATTATTACATCCAACAACAGAACACCTCAATCACTTAGGAGTCATTCTTGTCTACATCTGCTCCAGCTGTGAAACAATGGTGCACTGATGACAGCTCACTCAGGGTGGGTCTGAGGTAAGACACCAGTCCAGTCTGTGCTGAAATGCTACTGTCAATCAAACTATCGTGGGAGGGGTCTGTTTTTGTGATGTCACACATCTGAGATTGGCTCGATTTGAGAAAGGGGAAAACATTTAACACGATTTAAAAAAAAAACCACTGGGTGGATTTGTATCATTATAGGGTGGTTGTGTACACACACTGCCAACACACATTTCAGTTCAAACAACTTGTAAAAGTGCATGTAGCATCCTATGACCCCTTTAATGTACTTTGGTAATAAAATCAATACTAACATTGAAAATAAAAAAATAAAGTAACACTACCATACCAGTATCAGTATTAATGAGGGCAGACTCGATTTAGTACCCAAGTGTTGACTGACTGACAGGTGGTGCTAATTTTTTTATTTATTTTTCTCCTGAATAAGAACTGTTTCTCGATTTCCAACACTAGTCATTAATAAGAATGCTGTTAATATTATTTGATGTACTGATTTTGTTTACTAAAGAAATACTTGACATGTCATTGTTTTTATTTAAATTTAAGATATATTTTTATGTAGCATTTTAATTATGTTCCAGAGCATACATTGCTGTGTTATCAAAATCGGTATAGACCACATATTTTTTTAGTGTGAAAACACTCAAATTTAGTTTTTGCGTTTTTTTTAACTTGGTGAGACATAACACCTCATAACCTTGATAAAATACAAATAATCAAATGTTCTGAGATTGCACCTCTTTGAGTATGTTTTGCTCTCACTGAGAATTTATTTAATGTTTTTAGGTTAAAAATTTTACCCAGCCCAAAATAACAGCATGACTCAACAAGCACTAACCAAAACTCAACTTCAAGTCTTAAAACACACCCTGCCTCGTAATCTCGACAAGAGGCCCAGCAGGGGCCTGGAGCGAATCGCATTGGCACAAACAGTGGCCTGCTAATCGAGTGGAAACAGACTACAAACAGCCCTCTGTCAGAGAGGAGGCTAGGGGGAAGAGGAGTAAGAGAAGGGAGCAAGGCCAGTGTGCAAGTTTTCATTCCCTGGTGCCATTCCAGAACTGTTACAAAGACTGTTCTTTTCTTCTGCCCTTTTAAGTACAGAACACCAACATCAGAACACCCATCTGAAAGGTTTTGAATGAAGATACGGAAGTACTTCATTTGTTGAATCCCTAAAGATCTTACCACTGATTCAAACATTAATTACAAATTCTTGATAGGAAAAAAGCTTGACAGATGAAAAACTTTTAAAAGGGTCATTTCACCATGGACGAAGCGGAGTCCAGCCCGGAGTTGTCACATGTCCTTTCGGAGTCCGGACGCTCCTTCGTCGAAATCGCCGGCTGAGCCGTTCTCAAGCCCACCCGCCTCTGGTCACTCTAACCCTCCCGCCGTTCCTCACGCTAGCCCCCGGCCTCTGCTCACTGTAGGCCGCCGTGTGTGACGCTGTTTCGTTGTGAAAGCGAAACTACGTTGTTTGGCCTTACAAAAATGGCCACGACTAGAAATCAGTGGTTAAGTTGTATTTACAACACTGTTCCAGAACACTTCAACCCAAATATTCAGATGTGTGCAGCACATTTTATGGAGGACTGTTTCCTGATCCTGGGAGAGTAGACTACAATGCCGGCTGTTCTGACTCAAAGACTGTAAGTACGTTTTTTATATTTAAAGAGTTTTTATATTTTATATATTTAAAGCTAGTTTTTTGGGCAGTGTAGAGTAGGGCTTGTTGTTTGTCATTTCTCCGATCACAAATGCAGACATGGTTTTATGTTTACGCGGCGTGATGCAATGCAACGCATAAAAAGACAGTATAAGTCATTATAATCCATAATTATGTCCCCACTGGATGCAACAAATGCCTCGTTTATAATGGGTTTTCATATTTTTGAATCGTCGCTCCGGCCTGACAGGGCATCATCACAGTATGGTGAGGGGTGTAACATTTCCGTCACACGCTTGAGGTATTCGGCCAATCACAACGCACTGGATAGCTGGCCAATCTGAACACACCTCGTTTTTTCAGACCGATGAGCTTTTTCAGAAAGGCGGGGCATAGAGGAGAAACAATAATGTACAGTATGTGGAAGATAATGTGTTTTTTTAACCTTAAACCGCATAAACACATTTCATTACACCAAATACACAAAATACTGTTCTTTTTAGCAGCATCATATGACCCCTTTAAAGAAAAATCATAATCTGTTGTAACTGATATTAAAATAAACTCGATAGTGTTGCACAGTATATCTGTAGCATATCAGTTAATGTCCAAATAAGAGAGATTTTCTAAAAAGTATCAATATCAGTCAATATTGGATACTTAATTTTTGTCATCTAATATTAATCTCAAACAATAATTAAATAACTGATCTTTAGTAAGCCTAAAAAAAAATTATATTGCATATTATGATTTTTAGTTTTATTTTTACTTTAAGGAAAATAGATAGTAGATAATGTTAATATCAGTCATTTATCAGTTATTGGCCTTATCTTAAAAATAATAATATGTCTTCTCGGTCAAGACTGCACCCAAGCCCCCACTCCCCCAGCACCGCTCCCCTTTTTTCTTTCTTTCTTTCTTTTTCTTTTTTTACATTAAATTTTACATTTTACATTACCGTTTTCTGCGCAGTATCCTTCTTTGTCTCGTCTTGCTTTTCCGTTTTCTTTTCTTCCATCAAATGGTTCTCTCCTTGTGATGTTCAGCTTCTCTTAGCTAGAAGACAGACATGGGGGAAACGTTAATAACTGACAGGATGGAAGACCCATCCCATGAGACCCTACAAGATCTTAAAATGAAATCAAAGACCTGTGGACTATAGTATCTGCAAAATGTGGACAATGAAAGAATAGCTAGATACAAATAGTTTCCAAATCCAACTTTATCACTAACTCATTTAAATTATGACGTGGGAGGAGGGTGAATGATTAATCAAGCCTTTATTTAATGTATCTGGAGACTGGTAATGATTTCTGAGACCCAACCTGAGGCCAATTTGAGGGCACCAATTTCTACGGTAAGTCTTGTTAAGTTCAACAGTGACCCAAATCCCATACAAAATCATCCCAAAGGCCTTGGTAAAACTCTGACCATGCATTGATTTGACAAATTGATCATGCTAAAGGGGTTCAACCACATTTTGTCAGTGCCAGTGGGTATTTTGAATTCACTCATCTCACTCATGCAAGGTTTAAGCAGCATGACAAAGCCAAGTGGACAGATGATCCTCATCTTTCCAAATGTAAGACTGTGCACAATATATCACACCCCAAATCCAAATGCATTTTCCACCCAACAACACACAATGATATCTCATTCCACTGACAATGCAAACATAAAAGTCACAAGTCAGTCACCAAAAATACCAAAAAACACAAGTCACCAAAAATAACGGGGAAGGTGTCCTGTTGTGTTGCCAGTTTGTAAAGGAAATGCTGTCAATCAGTGAAACTGCAAGTGACAACAATGCATTGCACTTAGAAACAACACACTGGCAGAGAGAGCCATGGTATAGCTTGACAAATGCTTAGAGTTGCCAATCAGCTGTCCTGATTTACCCTCTGGCTCAAACCCCTCCCATTGGCTAGTAAACTTATCCCCACTTTTGCTGTCCAATCAGAACACAGGCGTTTGAGCGATTGCCATTCACATTGCCTCTTGACAGAGGTCCAGAGCAAGAAGATAGGAAGCCGCAGTGGATCATGCTGAAATTACCCAGAGCATTTTGTGGAGGGGGACACTGAACGGCTTTATAAATATCCCACACCCTTTGTGTGCTGGAATTTTCCAAAGCCTTACAGTTCAGCTGTTTATAAAATATAACCATCTGCTCCAGACACTTGAGCTGATTCAGTCCCATTAGGACTTATGTAAACATACTGTGTTCTTTGATTCGGATCCATTTGTTTTCAATGGCACAGATTATAATTTATTCCAGGTTTTACTTGCTCAACCTTTCAAATAAATGTAAAAATACATTGTCAGTGATGTGTTCAGACTTATCTTAAGCAATATATTGTACATATACTCAAATTCATATTAATATTTTTCATATTTTGCCATTCGTCAATATTTATTAATATAAATATTTGGTTACACTTTATTTAGATAGTCCACTTTAGACATTCTATTAACTATAAGTAACTTTGTAACTACATGTCAACTACATGTCAACTACATGTCAACTACATGTCAACTACATGTCAACTACATGTCAACTACATGTCAACTACATGTCAACTACATGTCAACTACATGTCAACTACATGTCAACTACATGTCAACTAATTCTCATTAATTTGCAACTACATGTCTACTAACTCTCAGAGTAGACTTAGGGTAGGTTTAGGGTTAGTAGAATAAGTTGACAAAGAAAGTGTTAGAAGATATTAAGCAGACAGTCTACTAATACTCTACTAACTGCTAGTTGACATGTAGTTGCACAGTTACTTACTGTTAATAGAATAAGTGTTACCAAATATTTTTGAGGTTTAGAAGCCCCCCCCCCCCCCAAATCAGAGTAACCACATCATTACACAGTCTAGCATTAATTCTACAGTAAATTATCAAGCTAAGCTTTTCACTAAAAGGACGCAGAGATATTTAATAGTTTACCATTTATATGACCCTAACAACACAGTGGCAAGATTCAGTTTTTGAACCCTTTCAAAATATCTGGATTTCTTCTTTGATTACTCATAAAATGTGGTCTGATCTTAATTTAACTTACAATTATAGACAAATACAAACTGACTTAACTAATGATACACAACAAATTGTACTTTTCACATTTTATTGCGGTGCAGGGTGAAGAACGTCAATGAACCTTTGACTTTAGTGACTTGTAGATCCTCCTTTAGCAGCGAAACCTCAACCAAATATTTTCTGTAGTTGCTTACATGACTTTTGACCAATATTGGACCATCCCTTCCAACAAATCTGTTTTAGTTTATCAATATTTCTGAGCGGTCATGTTAGCACAGCCCTCTCTAGATTATGCCATAGCATCTGCATTGGGTTAACGTCAGGGAAACACATATTTTCCCTTTTTTTCAGGCATTCTTTAGTTGATTTACTTGTGTGGTTTGGGACCTCCGTGAAGTTGGTCCCCCACCCAACGCAAAACGTCGCCAAAATAGTCTCAAACATTTGTGCTCATTTTGTGCCATAAAAATTTCCGTTTGTGCTGCTTTGTTTTTTATATATATTAAAATAATGTTTATGAGGTCACTCAGTCACCCCAAATAGTCGTTTGTTTGTGCTTCATTTGTGCTGGTTTGTGCCTGTAAAAGTTTCGTTTGTGCTGCTTCGGTTTTTCAAATATTAGTCATTTTTGTTTGAGCAAAGGCTGCAGGCTGCAAGAAAAAACCCAGCCAAAAAATACAGGCAAATTTGGGAAGTGTTAAGGAGCTGGAACGAGATGTACAACCTCGCAAGTCAAGACAAAAACGATGGTGCAGGAGGGTTAAGCTAAGCTAACCCTATGTCTACTGTAAATCTAATTACAACATCATTGGTTACTTTAAATTCACTCTTTACAAAGGCATAAAATAACATTAGATTTAAAATAAATCTAAAAAAGATTTGAAATAAATTAAATAAGTAATGAATCTTCAATCAAATTATTTCTATCCATTATTTTATGCCTTTGTACAATAACGAGTGAATTTAAAGTAACCATAATGATGTTGTAAATTGAAATAATCACAGACATGTACTGCATTACATTTTTACAGAAAAAAGCTGTTAAATAATTCCCAGTATGAATACTGTAGAATTACAGTAGATTGCTGGCGACTCTGCGGCCAGTATTTGACTGTAAATAAAAAAAAAACAGAATTATACTGCATTTCATTTTTACGGTAATAAACTGTAAAATCGGATGTCCGAAAAAACATTTCTGCACCTTCGTGCCAAGCTGCATCCAGCAATGGAAATGCAGGACACAAACTTCAGAATGTGTGTTCCCCTGAAGAAAATAGTTGCCATTGCACTATGGAAGCTGGCAACCAACAGTGACTACAAAAGTATTGGCCATCTTTTTGGTGTCATCAAAACAACAGTGGCGCGGTGTGTGCAGGAATTCCGCAAGGATGCCTGTACGTTGTTAGTTCCAGAACAGATGTGTTTTCCTGACTAGCAGAAGCTTAAAGAAAAGGCGACCTACTTTGAGAACCGATGGGGGCTTTCACAGTGTGTTGGTGCCACTGATTGGTCACACATACTCATTATAGCCCCAAAGGAGTACCACTGTGAATACTTCAACAGAAAAGGCTGGCATTCCATCATCCTGCAAGGAGTTATAGAAGGAAAAGGATTGTTTTGGAGTGTATTTGCAGGAATGGCTGGGAGTTTGCATGACGCTCGAGTTCTGAGACTGTCCACATTGTGGGAGTTAGTTGAGCATGGAAGACTTTACCCAGCTTGCACCAGGAACAACAGTGGGGTGAATGCTGGCTATTATGTGCTGGGAGACTCAGCCTATACTTTTCAGAATTCGCTCCTAAAACCATTCCCTGACTATGGCCAGCTGACAGCAGAACAACAGACCTAAAAATGCGCAGGTCTCGGGAGGTAGTGGAATGCTTTTGGGAGACTCAAAGGGAGGTTGCAGTGCTTTATGTAGAGGAATGATAGCGACACTGAACTGGTGAAATCCATGGTGTTGACTTGCTGTACTTTGCACAATCTTTATGAAAGTCATGGAGAGGATTACCAACACGAATGGGACACACATGCTGCATCAGAGCCTGTGGTGGTAGCAGTGGTACAGAGGAGGGGGCGGGGATGTACGTGTGGGTCTGATGAGGTATTTGAACAGTTAAATCTTTTTGTCTTTGCAGTTGTAGCAAAAGCAAATCCTGTGTAAATGCTAGGATATGTAAACCCGTTTTGACTGATACTGTAATGGACACATAAATCATGTTTACTTTTACCCTAATATATTTTTAAATATTTAAAAAAATATTTTTTTAAAAGTGAGGACTTCTTAGTCTCTGCAATAAAATGTAGAAAGAAATTCAGATTTTGCCATTACTAGTTTAAAAATCATATTAGATTACAGAGTAAAATCTTTGAAGATCAGCTATTGTAAATGTAAAGTAACACATTAACAAATATTGTATGTTAAAGGTAAAGCATAATCTCCCAAATGGTGATTTTATCAAGGTAGCAAACAAAAGGTCCATACACTCTGGCATTGTTAACACCTGATGGCAGGAACGTTAAGCGAATGACAAATTTATAGAAGGGGTACGGGAGGAAGCCTGTGAGACAGTCATTGAACACATGACATGACACATGAGGTAATGGAAAAATTACTTTAATTTAAAAACAGTCAAACAAATGCTTAAAATACAATGTGCTGTGCAACAACAGAAAAACAGTTTTGTACAAACAAAAAAGTGTCAAATAAGTGTTAAGTCTTTTTTGTTAAGCTGTGTGCAAAGCACTAGTTGCTGGATGGTGGCACAGGGTCATGGCGACTACTCAACACCTGCACCAGCTGACTGAGTGTGCAGAGGAAGGCCTGATTGAACCTTGCAGACTGCTCCATGTGTTGCCAAGTGACTTCAGCCTCATGCTGCCTTGCCTCAAGGGCATCCTACAGCATCATCTCAAAGAGCAGGTCACGATGGTCTTTCATCCTCTCCAACCACTCCTGCTGCCTCTCATCAGCTGCCTGCATCTCTACCTGGGCCTAAATGCAAAATGGACAGGAATATTGCCTGTTTAGTGAAGTGTTTTTATTCTTGTGATTTGAGCCAAATAAAGTATGGCATGCAGATATATAAGGGGTAAACATCTATAGTAGTACAATGCAATGTCCATCTCCATATTATACTATAATATATATATATATATATATATATATATTTTCACTCAGGTTTTCATGTCTTACTGATGTGTTTACACCGGGGTACATTCGGAGGTGATGGAACTGATTCTGGTGGTGTCGGTGTCAATGTCCGGGCAGGCGAACTCAAGCTCGAGCTCTCACAGGTGGACAACCTCTTGTCAAGACTCTCTGTGGTTTCCTTCTGAGAGCTAGGATCCTCAACTGAAAAGTTACACAAGTCACGTTAATCACACAAACTGCAACAGTACGGTTCGAGATAACATATACAAAACATACACTAAAGGACTGAATGGGTAGTTGATTACAGTGGTGGACAGTAACAAAGTATTAGGTACATTTTTCAAGTATCTGTACTTTATCAGAGTATTTTTATAAGAAACTTTTACTTCACTACATTCCAAAGTTTGGAATTAAAATTAGTACTTTTACTGAAGTAATATTTCATTAGGGTATCTGTACTTCACCCAACACTGGCTAATAAACTATAGCGTCTTAGGCTACGTTAACACTGCAGGCAAATGTGGACCAAATCAGATTTTTTTTGCTCACATGTGACTCAGATCTGTTTTTGTCACGACAGTGTGAACAGCACAAACCACATGGAATCTGATCTTTTCAATTCTGATTTGTGCCACTTCCATATGTGGTACTAAATCCGATCCATGTCAGATGTTTTGCAATGCGACCGCAGTGTGAACGGTCAAGTCGGATTTCATGCGGCTTTTACGTCACTCTAGATCAGTGGTTCTCAACCCCGCGGCCTGCATGCGGCCCGTCACGAATTCGAATGCGGCCCACCATGCTGAACACAATTTTAAAAAAATACTTTGTTTTACAATTCATTTTAGTTTTTACATTAATTAAAAAATTTACTAAATAAATATAAACTATTACCTAATGTTTTTATGTAAAATAATTTTGTTTTTCATATACTATTCTCAGACATGAGCAGTACTCACATAGCCTAATTAACGTTACGCATTTAAAGTAACGACCAAGTGGCCAGTGGCAGAGAGTGAGCATATGCTTGATCAATTTAGCCTTCTCAAATCATCACTACTTGACTAAAATAAAATCTATAGATATAAAACAGTTCAAGCATATAACAATGTTTAGATGTTAAACCTAGACAAATGTGCGCTGTATCCAATAGTTTGCGCAGAGAGTGGAAGCTGAAGCGCGCTTTGCAGGACATAGAGACGACAGCGCAATCACTTGTGTTTTTTTTCAGTGGATATACTGTCATTTTTGCTCATAAAGGTAAGAGTAATACATAATTCGTAACTGTAAAGGGTCTACTTTTATTTGTGTGCACTCACAATATCAACAAAACATTGTGCTTTAATAAAACAAAGAAATCAAACATGATGCGCTTTCTGCCGTCCCTTCAACAGGAGCGCTTCACAAAAATGAACCGAAACTCAGCGAATACATGCCTCACAGACATGATAAATATATCTATAGAAAGCTTTAAATTACTACTTAACAAAATAAAACAAATCAAAAACAAAAACTCTTTCATTATGATCATAATCCGTAAAGATGCACTTCTCTCTAAAGGCGCGACTAATGAAGAGATGGCGAGTCAGGATCGACAACTTCATCCTTGCGACACCGACTCAGAAAACACTAGTTTATTAGTAAATAATTCAAATATCTCATTACTGTTTTCCCCTGACGCATTTATGGTAATTACTTTTGCCAATGCTTTGCGGCAAAATTAAGCCTATTGTGTGCATTTGAACGCAGAACTGTTCAGCTGCGCTGACGGCACGCACCATACATGCTGCTGCTGCTGGACACTAAACACCGTTGAGCCGCTCTTGACAGTCTCGGTAGCACGGTCTCGTGTTGTTTCCACCAGCTTGGCATTCTGAACCATGATGTGAAAATTGTCCCGAAGCCCAGCTCGAGGGGCATAAAAAAAGTTGGAAATGTTGAAATGCAGGGCTCTAGCTCTGATCTAGCACACAGAAAACAATTTGACTGAAAATGTCTCAGAAGAGATGAAAGATAGTGGTCATCTACGCAATTCAGAAAAAGAGGCGGCTTTTCTGCATTAGGTATGTTTTTTTTTTTTTTTTACTCTTTGTACAGCAGTTATTGTTCATTCTAAATATTTATTTTTAATGCAGAATATGTGTTACATGAATACATGAAATGTAGAACATATAAAAAAGTGCTCGTGGCTCGTGGCTCTTCTGTCAATGGGTGCCCCCCCACGCATAAAAGTGAAACTTCGCCTATGATTGTGCTGTTACTCCTTTCGAGCCGAATTTCACAAAATTGGGTGTTATTTATGGGGAGTAGAATTATTTATTTACTTCAATGAATGTAATCGATTAGATATCATAATATTTAGGCTATAATATTATAAATCAGGTTGGTTTGTATTGCTGACGTAATATGTAAATGATATGTGTGCGGCCCGCGAGACTTGCACTTGGACCATAGTGCGGCCCGGTGGAAAAAAAGGTTGAGAATCACTGCTCTAGATCAACATTCATCATAATTCCACGCTTACGGGAGACACTTCAAAGATTTTACATACCCAGTTATCAAGACAGTAGCGAAAGGTAATCAGTGGAAGTGTGATGTGTCAGAACTCGTGTATTACAGTGATAACTCTACAAGCAAAACATGAGGGCTCGTATCATAAGTTTAAAAACTCTGCTTTCTTTAGTAACATCCTTGTCTTTATTTTTTCATATTGCCTGTGCATAATTTTGCTGGCTTCTGCAGCAGATCACACTATAAATAAATGCATAATCGCTTACTTTAAATCCTCTGTGTTTAATTCCGTATGACGGCGAGCTGCGCAAGTGTTGCCAAATCCACATTTCCCCCGCGGAATTAGGCTACTTTTTCCTCTGTTGCCGCGGGATGTTTTTCAACTTCGTGGGTTGACGTGACCCCACTAACGCGATGTTTAACCTCCCTGAACATGATTGGGCTAGTTTTGAGAAAAAAATTGGTTTGTGAAAATCTGGAAACCCTGTTCGCATCGTTCTTTTGCGCAGGCGGGTCAGTTCAGAACCATGATCTGTTCACACTGGAAATCTGATATTGCCCACAATTACATTTAGTCATTTAGCAGACGCTTTTATTCAATAACAATAAAAGCAGTCAAAACTAACAAAAGAGCAACAATATATAAATGCAAATGACAAGTCTCGGTTAGCCTAACACAGTACACGTAGCAAGGTGTATATACAGGTGCATCTCAAATTAGAATGTCGTGGAAAAATTCATTTCATTAATTCAACTCAAATTGTGAAACTCGTGTATTAAATAAATCCAATGCACACAGACTGAAGTAGTTTACGTCTTTGGTTCTTTTAACTGTGATGATTTTGGCTCACATTTAACAAAAACCCACCAATTCACTATCTCAACAAATTAGAATATGGTGACATGCCAATCAGCTAATCAACTCAAAACACCTGCAAAGGTTTCCTGAGCCTTCAAAATGGTCTCTCAGTTTGGTTCACTAGGCTACACAATAATGGGGAAGACTGCTGATCTGACAGTTGTCCAGAAGACAATCATTGACACCCTTCACAAGGAGGGTAAGCCACAAACATTCATTGTCAAAGAAACTGGCTGTTCAGAGTGCTGTATCCAAGCAAGTTAACAGAAATTTGAGTGGAAGGAAAAAGTGTGGAAGAAAAAGATGCACAACCAACCGAGAGAACC